GCCGGCCGGGGGCCGCCTCAGCCAGCGGGGCCGGGGCTCGTCCCTGCCCGGACACCCCAGCCCGGCTCCAATGACACTTGGGCTCTTGGGGGAGGGGAGGGGGGTCTCCAATAAAATTGGGCTGCCCATCACGATGTCCTAATACAATCGGAGACACCCCCCCGCCCCGCCCCAGCTCCAGGTTATGACTTCAAAACTTACAGGGGGGCTCTCGTCTCTTATGGGGGACGCGGCCCTCAGCTCCCCCGTAATTTGAACTTGCCCCCAACCCCTGCCCATGTGGCCCATGGACCCGGAGCCACAGCCACGCCAGCCGGCCCCCGGCTCTGAGATGCTGGGGGCGGGGGAGCAGTGGTAGCATCGCTCCCCCTACTGCCAAATCCCTGGCCCTGTGGGGACCCGCAGGGCCTGATGTGGGCACACAGGTATTGGCTGGAGGTGGTGCGGGGCCTGATCCTGCAGTGCTGGACCTAAGGAGGCAGTGTGGGCTGTGATTCAGCAACATGAGGCTGAGGGAACACGGCGCTGATGAAGCTGCTGACCGGCCCTGTGCCACTAATCTGGTCCTTGGCCCTAAAACGTTGAGGAGCACTGTCCTAAGGCCACTGCCCAGCCCCTCTGCAAGGACTGGAATAGATGCACCAGTTTTTGCAATGGGGTGCTGCTCCATTCACAAGCGTGGTGGAGCAGGACCTCTAGTCCAGTGCAGGGTGCCTCAACTCCAAAAAAAAAGGTTGAGAGCCACTGGACTAGGGAGTGGAAATCCCACTGGTGGCACCTGAACCCAGCAGGCAGGCAAGTGATTGGACAAGAAGCAGAAAGCACGAGTACCACCCTTCTCCCATACCACCCTCCTGCAGTACCCTCCAGCAGCTCTTGCCTTCAGGATAAAAGCCCGGGCTTGATAACTGTCCTGACCTTCTATTAGCCAGCACCTGACAGGAAGCAGGGTGCTTGCAATTGGTACTTGTAATTAAATACTCATGAAGCACCACACTCTCACTCTACTGGTGAAACGCCTTCTAAGTGGGAGAGCACCAGCATTATTGGGGCAAACTGTAAACAGTGCAAAGCCCCTAAAAGTAACCTCTTTTGTTTCCTAATGAAATAGAAACAAAGAGCATGGCATTGCTCAAAACCTAAATAGGTTGCTTATTTCTCAAATTCTGGGTAGTTAAGTTAGTTAGTTAGTTAGTTAGTTTTGGGGGGGGGTCTTTACTCTGTGGGCAATTTAAAATATATATCTGCTATCTGTCTCTACTAGCAGCTCTCTCTACTACTACCACCTCTCTGCTACTAGCAAACAAGCTTGCCAGCAGTGGATTCACGTACTAAATAAGCCTCCAAGTCCTGATTGGGCATTTCACCATGTTCTTGCTTTGTCATTTAATAATAATTACATTTAATTAATTCATAATAATAACACAAGCTCTGTTCTGAGATCTCAAAGCATTTATTGGAAATTAATTCTGTCAAGCATTTGAGCCTGAAGAATGTGCTTAAAGTTAAGTGCTTTCATGAATCAATAATTTTATTACCCCTCAACATCCCTGAGCTAGCAAAATTAGTACCTATCATTTCTCACCAGTGTAGTTCCAAAAGGATACTGTTATGTAGACACGAGCTGCATTGATGGTGACTTATGGTTTTCCTAGTATAGACAGAATTAGTGAAGTGGCTTACTGTATTAAAATATCAGCATTTAGAACCATGAGACAGTAATGTGACACTTTTTTTACTATGACCAGGGCTTTTTTGTTGTTGTTGTTGTTGTTGATAAACTATACAAATTGCAGCATGCGAATTAAGGGTTGAATGGTCAGTTCTATCCCTGCCTATATCTTGCATTACTATATACTGAATTATATTTTATATGCCTCCTAATGTTATCCAAAGATGTTTTAAAGTCAGATGTATATTTCTGTACCAACATTTTAGCAGATATCCCCATCACATTGTAAATGATGCATCTTTAAAAATTAAGCTAGAATGTTGTCATTCCCAGGCCCAGTTTTACATGTGGAGGAGTTGTATCTGGAGAGTCCGGCTTTATTGGAAGTGAAGGATTTCCTGGAGTCTACCCTCCAAACAGCAAGTGTACTTGGAAAATCACAGTAAGAATTTTTAGTATCACAAAATCAGTTTTGAAAACAGTGGAGAGCTATTTGTCTCTAAGACCTAAATTCTATATTTTCCTTATATATAAAAAGTAACAAATTACTTCAATAATTAATTATTGAACTTACAGTACCAGGGTTACATTTAAAAGTGATAAATAGTAGTCAAAATATGCAAAATGTAGATCTCACCTTTTTAATTAAGGAAAGAACAAAACTTCTCACTTTAATAAGATCAGGTATATATTTATATTTTGATAAAAATCAGAACTGTTGAAAACAAGTCTTTTATCTACTAGTCATTACAGATATAATGGAGCAAGACTGTTAGAGTAAAACTCGCTATCTTGTCATTTGAGGGACAGAGATTGTAAAGCAAATCTTGAAAACAAGATTTGTTGTCAGTATAATGTAGACAAGTTTGGAAAAAAGAAAAAAGGTTAGGAAACTTTGTGTTACTCTGGTGTAATATGATGGTTTTTAATAACACCCTCCTGCCAGCCAACTCATCTTGAGTACTGCATGATGCAGATGCCACACAATGTTCAGTGATAAAGCAAGATGACAGAGCAATAATGGAAGAATGATGTTGTTATATTCACCAAAAAGATGTTTGTAATATGTGAGGTTGAACTGAGGTTTTGAGCAATATACCCATGAATGCTGCTTATAACCGAATGAACATTGTTAAAAATAAAAAAACAGTAGAACTAAGTATCCTTTCAATGCTTATAAACCAGGGACTTCATAAATATATTTTAACAAGAAATACCTTACACTTCTTCATAAGTTTCTATTTTGAAGTTGTCACTAAAGATACTTAGAGTTCTAAGAATATGTATTTTTTTAAATTATGGATGAAATTAATGGACTAGGACAGTGGAGGCCAATCTTTATGGTAGGAGTAGCACAAATTAGCCCTGCACCCTCCCCCGGTGCTGCTTCCATCCCCTTCCCCTGCCCAGTCTACCTGTCCAAGGCACGGGCACAGGCAAAGCCTCTTGCTGCCAAAGCTCTGTGGCCCATATCAGACCAGAGCCGAGCTGGTTCAGCTGTGGTCCTCAAGCGAATTGTGGGAAGACTTACCTGTTTTTCTGGTACACAGGGAGAATTACAGGAGGGCAATTAAGGATGGGTAGCGCACAAGTGCTTTAGCTTGTATTTCACAGTGAATATGGGTAGATTCCAGCTTGAGTGAAAGAAGTATCCGAGTTCAAGTCTATAGAACCCAAAAGACCTACTGCTAACCTCTCTGTAACAGAAGGCCACCTCAGGGTGGATCTTCATTGGCCCACCTACCTGTTTCTGGGCCAACCACCTGCCTCCTCTCCTGCCATGCCTTGATGATATATAAATTAGGATATTAATTAGGCAAGAGGCTGCCCATTTCTTGCCCCGATGCCAGGGGACACTATCTGCAGCTCCGTTTCTTTCCTACACTGCAGCCCAAGACTCGCAGATGGCATCCTCAGTTCTTATGGCATCACTGGCCCCACACTGGGCCCCAGAATCCTCCAATCTGGACCCAAACCAGATCCCTCCAATAAGGCGGCCTACTCCACTCTCATGCTGGGCTGCCTAGTTCCCTGAACTCTTCCCCTCTCAGGTGTGGTCCCTCCAGGACCTTTGGCCACACAGGCCCTGGTCTTACCTCTAAAGCCAGTCAGAAACCCCAGGCCCTCAGCTCTGGGCATCCCTCACAGTGGGCCCCTGGCTCTTTTGACCGTTCTGGTCCTGGCCCCAGCATTGACCAGTCGAGGGTATTCTAAGTCAGGCTTCTGAGTCTATAGCCCCACTCTCTAAGCTGGGTCCACCTTCTTGACCCTACTGTGGGGTAACCCACCCAGTTGTGGGAGCTAGGGTTATTAAGGCACTCCAACCCACCTCTCACTGCGTGGTAACTAGCCTGGTATTTCCCAGAGGTTCCCACACCACTGGGAGCCCCACAGGCCACCCACTCCCAGCAGGGTGCAGTTTTAGGTCATGCCCAGGACCAGGAGCCTCCAAACCATCCCCTACAGCTCCTGTCCTTACCTCCAGGATGTTGCATTCAGCCTTGCAGCCAGGTGATGTTACTGCCTGGCCTGCCAGCAGTGAACTGCCCTGTTTATATAGGAAGCCCGAAATTCCAAAATAGGCAGCCAGAGTTCTAAAATGGCCACCGCAATCAAGCACCTGCTGGCTGCTTGGCTCAGCCCTTAAAGTAGCAGGCACCAACAGTACCCTGCCACACTCTCATAAAACAACTTCATGTGGAGGCAGAAAGCAGTACTGCATGAGACCTGGAATTATTCTGCAGTGCAGAAATATCATAAATTATAATCATCAGCAGAAATATCATAAAAATGTAAAGGCCTCTACAATTAGCAGAAGGTGATGAGCATCCTTTGTCCGGTCTCTTATAGCTAAGGAGCCCCCCTTACAGGACACACAGGGCACATGGAAAGATCTGATTGAAAACTGGAACAGCCCACTGTTTTGTTCTCCTTGTGGGTTAAGAAAGGTATGGAAGTGCTTTTTTCTCAACCAGATAATCCCAGATTTCTCTAGGAGAAATCCAAAGTTAACTGAACAAGGAGGACAGGGAAACAACTTAAGAATAGTACAGAACAACAATTCAGCAGTGAAATCGCTTTAGAAAATGTTGTGGGTAATATAACATTTAATACAGCATGCAGGTAGCATTAAAGTTTTCCACGATTAGCTTTCTAAAGCTAGAAGACTCGCTCCAACTTCATTATGGTTCTATAATTTTGTGAGCCTGGGGCTTATACTCTTGGCTTAAAAAACAGCTTTGCTATTCTAAGAACTCTAAGAAGCATTCAGCACATGTTTGTGGTTATATGACAATCCTGGCAAAGCACTCAGAAGCTTTTAGTTGGCATTGCTGAGTTATCATCTATACTGTTATCTCCTCTCCTGTGGTTATTTGTATAGTATCATCCACGATGCATTATATCCATTTACTTTTAATATTATATAAATCCTTCTGAGCCATAACTTGAATGATTTGAGAAGTTGGATTGCTGTTCTGTGTCTTTCTGGCAAACCAAGCACTTACAAAATCCAGCATATGCACTGTGCAAAAATAATATTCAAAACTGTCAGAGTTATGCAAGATGATCTTTTTGTAGACCCAGTAGGTGAATTACAATATATGTTTGCTGATAATAAGAAGCATTTGAAAAATCCACTCAACAGTGCATCTGGAAATTTATCCTAGGGAATGGAATGTCTAATGTCAATTTCTCCAGATTTTAAGTATTCATTAAACAAACAAAAAAGCATAACTTAACAACTGTTTCTTTCTAAATATGAAATGATACATTGCTTAAAATGAGGGTGAAGTGTTAAATTTAATCAGAACCCAGCAGCTCTTTCAAATATAGTCTAGGGATAGCATCCTGGTAGGAATCAAAATATACTCTCAGCAATTTGAAAGGACTGGAGCAGGGGATGGGGACTGGACACAGGGACTGTACTTATATCAGGAGGTTACCCCGGGGCCCAAGTCAATGCATCTTTCCAATTCATTTTGGGATAACACATTTAATCTTCTTGTTGGCAGGGAGATGATAAATGTTTCAAGTCTGATCATAAAGTCTGTGCGAAGTGTGTTCAAGTGACCCACAGCACCATTATGGCTAAGTGTTCAACTAGCACTGTTTGGCATTAACACCTGTTTTGAGCAGTTTTATTGGAAGTTTTATTATTCAGCCAAAATATTTGCTCAGTATAAAATTTGGCACAGACAACTTCTTTTTATTCCAAAAGACTAAACTAGGTATTAAGGAAGAGCAAGATGTACTGAGAACTTTCCCAAGAAGCTAGGAGAGGTACACTCATGAACAGACTGTTTAAATATGAACAAAAATTCATACTTGTGAGTGCTTTATTCAGAAAAAAGAGTCCTAATTATTTTAAATAAGTGAACCATGCTTCCATTATTAGTTTCAGTACAAAAATAACCAACAGCCCTATTTTGCTATGTGCTATATATGTAAAATGAAGGTATCCTACCCCAAAGCATTTGTAGTCTATGGATACATAAGAGGAATAGACAAACTTTTATGAATTTAGTATCATAGTATTCATGTAAATGTTAACTGAGTTAATGGTAATGTTGAGGTGCTGTGGAAGCCATGGTGGTCAAGCAGAAATGCAAGAGGCAAGGATTCTTGTGAGACCTGAGGAAGTGGTACCCGAAAGCTCATCTATGCAGTTGGTCCAGTAAAGGATATCATCCACAACAAACCTAGTTAACGTTTGCATCTCACTAGACTCTGAGGGCGCGTCCACACATGCAAGCACATGCGCTTGCGGCAGCTCAAATAGAAGTGGTGCAGAATTGAGCGCACGTGCCTGGACATGAACTTTGATGTGGGGCAAATTGTGCCACTTGGGGCAAAATAACCCTGCCTGGCTCCTCCTGGATCTGCAGCCAGGGGGAGCTAGAGCCTGGGGCCAGCACCTGTGCTTTCCCCAGCAGTATAAAAAAGCTGCCCTGTCCTGACCCCATCAGTACAAAAAGCTGCCCTGTCAAGTAGCTCAGAACTACTCACTCTCAGGAGTTTCTGGGACCCAGCCAGTTGGTACCTGGGGACACTACCCCTTGTGCCAGCTGGACTGCTGAAGCAGCTCTGAGAGTTCCCTGCGACCTTTACCCACTGCAGCAGCCTGCCTGTGACCTGCTGTGCACCTGCCAAACTGCAGATGGGAACTGCACAGCCAGTAGAAGCATCTGCCCCTCTGGGCCAGCTGCCAGTGGGCTGTGGCTAAAGAGAGAGTTGGCCTTTGTGTGGCACTACTGACATGTGTGCCCCCTGCCTGGCCATTTGGGCAGCTATTGCCCAGAAGATGTTCCCAGTGTGGTGGCCTGCTTTGACCTGTCAAAGCATGTCCTCCTGGCCCCAGTTGGCCAGGAGGTAAGCCACAGCCAGATGGGTCCAAGGTGCCAACTTTGAGCAGGCTCCTCTGCCTGGGCCCTGCCACTTGCC